ACCCTGAGCCGGTGAGATTTGAACCGCTGACCTGCTGATCTAGCAGTAGCCTGCAGTGCTGCATTTAACCACTGCGCCACCTTGGCTCTTGATGTAATCCATTATGCCGCACTAGGGATTTAAACTGCCAAACTGCTGACCTTTCTGATTGACAAGCTCAGCATCTTAGCCACTGAGCCACCTTCAAGCATTAGCAGAATGCCACCTTTAATTTGATGGCAAGATGGATGTCAGACATTTTTTAAGTTGCCTTTTGAAACTAACTTGAAACATATGAAATGTGAGATCCATTGCCTGTATATTTAGTATTTCAGTTCCTCACAAATACCTAATAAAATTGCCATTGCCCTGCACAACTTTGTATATAAGTGTACATCCTCTTAAACTGGGATTACATTTAGCAGCCTGATGCAATATGTCTTCTCCATCTAAGTTTTTGAAAGTAGTACATCTTAAGATGCAACAAGAGATGCTAAACTAGGGTATGTTGATTGAATTTCAATGGATTGTATTCATAACCAACTTTTAAGGCACAATCTACACAGCACGATGGTTGTATCCACACAATATGCAAAGCCAACCATATGATGACTTAGAATGAGGTTCAAAACCCATCCGTGATGTTATTGTAAAACAGAAATTCAGCTAAAATAGCTCGCAACATGTTTTTGGAGGACTGCAAGATGCAGCAAGATTATGCTGATCTCAAAAAGCTAAGCAAGGACAGGAATAGGAAACTATTTGAAAGTTCTAAGACTTTGACTAGACTTCTACTCCTAGTCCTAACTAGACTCCTAATCCTTGATTTCTTAAATCAAAATGTTCTGGAAGAAGCCATTGGCAAATACTGTTAACTATCCTGTTTTTGTCTATAAGAATTCATTTAGTCACAGGAGTGAAACTCAAATGATACCCTCAAAACGACGCTATAGGGCTCTGCTTATCAGAACAACTAGACACAAGGACAGTTTTTTTCTGAATGCCATCACTCTCCTAAACAACTAATCCCAACAACACTCTCAAATTATCTACTAAGACTGTATTACTATTATTATTCCTTCCTCACACCTATGCCTTTGCTAGTACATATCTCTTTCCACTTATGACTCTTTAAAATTTATATTGCTACTTTTATTTCCTAGTATAATCTGATTGCTTTTTAGTTACCTCTGGCTATCACTAAGTGTTGTATCTTATGATTCTTGATGAATGTATTCTGTTTTATTTTTCTTTATGTACACCAAGAGCTTATGCACCAAAGATAAATTCCTTGTATGTCCAATCACACTTGACCAATAAAGAATTCTATTCTATTCCGTTCTGTGATAGAATCAGAAGTTAATAGTCAAAAGGCATCTTGGAGATGACCTGTTTCAACTCCCTAACCAATGCAGAAATCCACAGCTACAACGTCCCCCACCCAGTCTCTCATTTTAAAAAACTTCTATTAAAGGCGAATTCAACACCTCCTAAAAAAGCTCATTCCATTGTTGAACAGCTGTTATCATTGGGATATTTTTCCTGATATCCAACTAAAAACTACTTCTTTGCCATTTAAATGAGTTGGCTTTAAATGACTTCAGAGGTGTTTTGTTTGTATAATTTAGCTAACATTGAGTTTCACATGGGCTTCTTAAAATCATTTTTGTATTCTGATTTTGAGCATCATTTGTGAAAATGTCCTGATAGTAGGTTTCTCAGTAGAAGCCACACAATATGTCAGCCCAGAAGAAAAATGAGCTTTGGAGATCACACACACACATACACCCCAATGAATTTTTTAAGGTGACTGTCTGACTTTTAGGTAGAAGTTCCGTCAAATTCTTCGTGAAATTCTGTATTCAGTATCTTTATTCATATTTTTAATAGAGTGCTTTGGAACGACAAGTCTTAAGTTCCATTATGGTCTATTTCATTTTCAAAGAAATCCAGAAAAATGATTATTTCTTCTTTGTAATCCCATGCTTCAGTATCTCTCCGTTCTGCTTTAACTATGAAAAAAAAAACATGCTCTTTCAAATGAAATATCCTAACCGGAAATTTGAAAGAAATGACTACATAGGCATCTGTCAAGATACTGCTTCATTTTCCTGCCTGTAGGCAGTGGGTTGAACTGGCAATGCTTCCTGCGGTTATTTCTATGGTTGCCTTCACCTGAACAAAGGCAGAGCATCAGGTAATTCTGTAAGAATTAATCAAAATCTCTTTTCTGCTTTGTTCCATAAGATGAGCTTGTTTTGCCATCCTGATTCCAAGAACTATGTTAAGCAAGGCACTTTGTATTGACTTTCCTTCTTCTTTTTTAATCGCACTGAAGATATCTAAATCGTTTAATGTATCAGACTAAGGAGATGTTTAAAAACCGATAGACATAATTAAAAACAACAATACATTATAGAATATCCTGATTTGTTTGACAAGTTAATGCTACAATTACAGTTTCTACTTGGAATGTGCAAAATTCATTGGTCCAGAAAAAACTCTGCTTCACTCCAGACCACACTATTCTAGAGGGAGAGGGGGCATTTTGGCAATTTCTAGAAGCAAACTCGTCAAAACAGTAGTAGCTCAAGT